TTATTTAGCAGGGGAATCAGAATCATAGTGCACAACAGAAAATAAAAAAAATTAATCACATTAGTCCTTAAAATTTAGTGTCTTTTGTTTTAAATAAATCAATAAAAATGTGTAGTTATTTTAATTATACATTTCTTTTGTGTTTCATTAATATTTTATAAGTATTTAACCTTCGTTCCCTGTAAATAATTGAGTTTGTCCACATAGTTACCAGGATTGTCTGGTGGCCATTTTGAATTTGTCGATTCATAATTTTGACGTGATAGTCCAAATAAACTGTAGTAATACGACCCTATCATTAATCCCGTTCGATAGATTTTAAAGAATTAGTAAACACTAGCATCTAATAGTTAAGTGCATCCATATTTTAAGTCCCTAGAATGTCCTGAATTAAATAGCTTCACGTCTAAACACACCCTGTGTACAAGCGTAGTTCACACGCAAGAAACCGTGGACTAGAAGAGTTCAAATTTACATTAATAACGTGTACTAATTAAACCAAACTGACATTCAAACTTAAAATTCATTTATTAAAATGGAAATGAAACTTTAAAAATGGTACTTACAACTTGTTTGAAGGCTCTAGCAAGGGTAAAATCCGTTTAGCATCATCGGTCGTCAACCTTTAAAACCGTTCGGCGAGCAACTTACTCGGGGCTGAAAGTCGACTCGAGGGTTATATGTTTATTGGGGGTACGGCTTCGCGACCGTAAATCAGAAATACTTGAATTTACAACACAAAGTAGTTATAAAACTGAAATTTACATCGGTGTAAAAATTGAAACAGAATTAGTTTGTTTCCGTGTATATATCGTCATTTAAAGTTTAAAATCTGTATTTTTTAAATGAAATAAACAAGTTATTTTTTCAATTTATACATCAAACGATAGCCTAGAATTCGATCTTTAAAATGACATTAAGATTATGCTTCTACGATGCTTCGTCGCGAAGCCGCGAGCAAATAAAATAGTGTGGGGTCGAACGGTACACGCAAAACGGTGAAATTTGTTGACGTAACTGATACTTTTCAAACAAATATAAAACACATTCAAACATGTGTTACAGATATAAAAATACCAGATTACGACAGATAAAGACTTAAACTTTATTGACATATAATTTTTATTCTTATAGGACAACTAGAAGTAGTGAAATTTTTTTTTTGAAAACCGCAAAAACTGACCCTAAAACGCACTTTTTCGCCAGTTTGGACTACCTAGTTTAAGTGAGTGCAAAAAACTATAAATAAGTTGGGGTACTATAGTCGATTATTAAGCTGAAACAGGCGATTCTGCCCTGGGCTAGACTGCGAGCACTTTGCGTTTATGTTCGCGTTAGTGTTTTCTTTGTGTTTAGGTTGGGTTTGCGTTAGTGGTTGCGTTTTGATTTGGTTCGTTTTTGTTCTTTCTTTTTTCGTTTTCGTTTGTGTTTTTTTTCTTTGGGTTTGTGTTTGTATTTGTGTTTGTTGTTGGTTTTGCGTTTGGATTTGGTTTGTTTTCGTTAGGTTTTCCGTTTGTGTTTTTTTCTTTGAGTTTGTGTTTGTGGTTGGTTTTGCGTTTGGGTTTGGTTTGTTTTCGTTTGCTTTTTCGTTTGTTTTTTCTTTGTGTTCGTATGGTGTTTGTGGTTGTGGTTGGGTTTGTTGTTAGGTTTTTGTTTTCGTTTGCTTTTTTGTTTGTTTTTTCTTTGTGTTTGTATTGGTGTTTGTGATTGTGGTTGGGTTTGTTGTTAGGTTTTTGTTTTCGTTTGTATTTTTAATTGTGTTAGCGTTATGTTTGCGTTTTGTTGTTTTGGTTGGTTGTGGTTTGGGTGGGCAATGACGGGTTTATGATGATTACTAAACACACAGGTAATGGTCTTTAACAGAAAGGTTTTTCACAGAAGCCAGAGCAGGGCCTGGCCGGGACGGCTAGTAATATATATAAAGTTCAATTCTGTATGTTTGTTTGTAAAATGTTTGTAATCGAGGATTACAAATGAATATAGGAAAAAACGAAAAAAAAATCGATACTTCCATGTATTTAAGTGTTAGATTATTATAGTGCTCATGGTCTAAATCTATGAGTTAAAAATTACTATTGAAAGTCTTTAAAAACAATTTTCAGTTTATATACTTAGAAATAATTTTCAATTATTAACATTACATAAAATTTTTTTAAAAAAGTGTATCAACGTTTATAAAATTTCTAAAATTGTGTCTGAAATGTATTTGCATTTTGTCCTTTAGTTTTTATAACGTCCATTGATTTGGAAAACACAGTTTCTTCCCTTTAAAAAACCATTAAATCGGGGGAAGAAAGAATTTACTTTTTATTACTTTGTTTTGGTGCTAGAAAAAACAATAATTATATAATTCGCGGGGATTAATTAAGTTCAATGTCGTTAGTATTTTTAATACTGCCTTTTATTAATTCCATACACTGAACGTACTGTTTACTAATTATTTTTTAAAATCAATAACAGTTAATAAGCCAGGTCCTACAAATCCTATATGTTTATTTCTTTCCATTTACGGATAAGTTTGGAGTATTATAATTTTGTTCACTAAATTGAAACAGGCTCATCCGCCGGTGCCGCTGCACGGTTTGATTTGGCGCCCTGGGCTATCATGTGAGCGCTATGGTGCATAATTTCGTTTTAAACAGTGCGATAGACTATAAATAAGAAAGGTTACTATAGTCTTTAAGTTAATCAAATCCGGGCGTCCTCCAGCACACCGACAGGGTGCTATTTGGCGCTCCGGGCCTTCTCGTGTTCGCTATGATACCTACGTTCGCGTAAGTGAGTTTAAAAGACTATGAATAAGTTGGGTACTAAGTACTATAGTCGTTTACTAAGGTGAATCAGGCGGTTACGCCGCACGTCGTCATGGTGCGATTTGGCGCCCCGGGCTAGACTGTGGACACTTTGAGTTTATATATGCATTTATGTTTTCTTTGTGTTTGAGTTTGGGTTTGCGGTTGTGTTTGGATTTGTTTTCGTTTGCTTTTTTTCTTTGCGTTTGTGTTTTCGTTTGCTTTTTCTTTGCGTTAGTGTTTTCTTTGTGTTTGTGGTTGTGTTTGTGTTTTCGGTTGTGTTTGTATTTGTGTTATGTTTGCGTTGTTTTTTAAGGGCGTGTTTTGGTTTTGTTTGGTTGTGGTTGGGTTTGTGTTTGGATTTGTTTTCGTTTGCTTTTTTGTTTGCGTTAGTGTTTGTGTTTTCTTTGTGTTTGTGGTTGGGTTTGTCTTTGCGTTTGTTTTTTTGTGTTTTCGTTTTCGTTTGTTTTGTGTTAGTGTTATGTTTGCGTTTTTTTGGTGTTTGGTTGATTGTGGTCAGGGTGGGCAATGCCGGGTAAATGCTGATTACTAAACACACAAGTTATGGTCCTTTACAGATACGTTTTTCAGAGATGCCAGTGCAGGGCCTGGCCGGCTAATATATATATATATATATATATATATATATATATATATATATATATATATATATATATATATATATATATATATATATATATATATATATATATATATATATATATATATATATATATATATTACAAATTCGGCGCCTTTTTTTGTTATTTTCGCTCCCCTACACCGAAAACCTGGATACGCCTCTGGGTACAAATTGACAGACCGTGTTTATTAGGGAAATATCAATGACTACTAAATCACTACCCTTCATTGCCTTCAACGATTCCCCTTCCTCCATAAAAGTTGTGTGATGAATCCTTAGAAAGACACAACATAACAACACTTTTAACTTTTTCCCAAAAATAAATAAATAAATAATAAATCACTCTGTTTAATGCACAACTGATGTAGATCCCCACACGCAACTGAATGTCAGGAAGTCAGGACTAGCGTTCATCAGGTTACTAACTGTCTACTACAAGCATCCAGTCTGCTCACTTAAAGGACGTCTTCATCGGCCCGCATACAATAGGGTATCTCTTACGTGTTTTCCAAATTTGCATCCCATTACGGGTCGGGAGCGAATTCGCGTCCAACTATCTCCATCACCTCTGGCCAAATGCGAGGCGGCCGTACCCAGCACACAGCTAGGTGTTATACTGTTTTGTATCAAATTACTGTCTTTCAAAGTTCAGGTGGGTGATAACTCACTAACATCGACCGTAGTCTCAGTTAAAGCAATCAACAACGTCGGCATTCGACCCTTCAAGCGTGGGTCCTGGGGCGACCGCCCCCTTTGCCACCCCCTAACACCGGCTCTGATTTTGTGGCACCGAAATAAAAAATCTAATGGGATAGTTACAGGTAAGAAGCACCACAAACCTTTCCAATTTATTTATTTACTTGGGGGAGGGGGGCGATTTTTCAAAAGGGAGGGGGAGGGTGGCGCTTTTTCAAAGACAGGAATAACTATAAAAAGAATGGGAGGGGGGGGGGGGGCGAAAAATGTATAAACCGCCCCGGAATCGGTTAATTTTTTCGGACCCCCCCCCCCCCCCCCCCCCCGCGTGGACGTCATAAATGGACCCCCCTATGCGCATAGGTACATTTATCCTAAAGCTGCCGGTCGTTGTGTATTGGTTGTATCGGTACCAACAGTCACGTTGTCAAGTCGAAATTTATGACTTCACACTCTCTTCACTCACGCGGATCGCAATTTTTTTTGACTTCGCGAATGGAGGCGAGCGAGTTGACGAGAATCCTTCCATCATGTTGTTGACATGAAATAAAAACGTGTTTTTTTTTTTTTTTTTAGATTTAGCAAACAAAATGACCGTAAAAATAATTTTTAAAAAAATTATATTTTTAGAATCAATGTTAGAAAATCTATAAAAATTGCAGATCCAGAGAACTTGAAAATAATTTGTTGAATTTAAAGCTAGGCCTACATTTCTATTAATTTATTTTCATCAAGCCTAAGTTATAACCGGATGTTTCACTTTCGCAAGTCTCAGGTGCGTAATTTGATATCGGTCGAGGCGAGATCTAGTAATGTGCGAAAAAGTTGCCTCATTATTAAGGCTTTAATAGAAGTATTAGATACTTGTGATATATTTGTGTCGAAAACTATAGATAACTGAATAATAAACCAAAATCAAAGGCTAAGTATATCAATCTAGTATAGGCCAGAAATTAACTTTAAACTGCAGTGTTTGCGAGCAAATAGAATAGAGTGGCTTCCCCTGAATCTCCTACCATAAGTTTACAAAAAAAACAACAACAACATTAAACAAGATGGCTGCTACAGTAAATGAGCTTTGTTGCATCTGATGAAAACATTGCTAGAAAAAAATCTAGCCTTTATTAATTACTGAAAAGTTGTAAGACAATTATTGTTTAAAATCAGGTACATCAATGAATATTTGAAACATTTTTGTACTTTGTAAAACATAAATCCTCCTAAAAATGTGAAATAATTGGACACAGCCAAAAAAAAAATGGGCATTACTTTTAAATTTCTGTGTCACTCAATAAATCTTTGTAACCAAAAATACTTTCATACTCCGCAACCATATAGAATATAGGCCTAAAAAGTGTTTTTCTTTCTATGCATAGAATTTGAAAAATGGTATTTTTTTTACTTTTATACCTGCTGACACTTAAAAAAAGAAATTCACATTTCTGCAGTCCCCTGACGTTGCTTGCATACAAAGCATATTTTGTTCCATTTTGTCCAAATAAATTATACATTTTATGCTTCACATTATGTATAAGATGACAGATAGTGAGTCATTCCTTTCCTGGGTTATCGCTATAGAATGAAAGACACTTAAAAGTAATCAACACATTCCATGCAAGTTGCTGCACTTTTGCATATGTCAGCAAAAGAACATAAAGAAAATATTATATACACACACATTGTTAAAACATATAAAACTAATCAATGTCAAATGGTATTCTGGCTTAAACTCCTAGAATAAATAAAGCGGGAGTGATCTCCCCTAAACTTTCTTGAATATTCTTATATAAAACTACGGGGTATGGCAACTTGGGAGACCATCATGATTTTTATTCCATTTTTTTCATTACTTAAACTTTTTGAAAAATAGAATAGAATCTCGCAGAAAAGAGAATTCCGCACCAAGTGAATGCCAAACAATATGTGCATGATAGTGCGGAAAATTATTATTACTTTATAAAGTAAGATGCGTTTTTTGAGAAATCGGAAATAGCGTAAATTACTATTTCCAGTCAACGGAAATTTCTCAAAATTTGACAGAAGGAAGAGAATTAGATCTTTTACTTACATGTGAAACTTATCTATCTATCTGAAATAGTACTCAAGTTATAAGCTTTTGAAAAATTGATAGTAGAATAAGTTCCACTTCTGGTACCGGAAATCGCTGAAAAGTTTATACAGAACTACAAATTTGATATAATACTTACATATGAATTTTCATCAACCTAGCTGTAACGGCACTTAAGTTATCGTGTTCACAGACACACATAAATACACTCATAGAAATACGGACAAAATTGTAAAACTATGTTTTCCTGACTTAGGGAGGTGTAAAAATCTTGATTGTTTTGCACAAATACATTAGAGCTAATAGAACAAAAAAATACAATTTTAAAAATATTTTATGCTGGGGGTGGGGTAGGATTTAAAAAAGAAATTCAACTCATGCTATATATTGCTATTTAAGTCTGTTATGATCTACTCTCAATTTTTTTTTTTATTCCTACCGCTCATAATTAAAATAGATTGAAGTTAAGATTATTTATATTATTTCTCAATTAGTCTGCACAGAGTTTTATAGTTGTTTTTTATTATTTCTGTGATCTCTAAAAAGGCAATATGTTATTGCTGTTATTTCAAGGGATAGTTAAATTAGATTATTTTATACAAAATACACTGCCAAAAAAACACATTAATTTACTGATTTCTTAGTTTTTTATAAAAATATTTTATAAAGTTATCTGCATTTGATTAGCCTGGAAACCGGGGAAAAATGTGAATTTAAGATGAAATTTCCCGTCTGGGAAATTTTGTCATCCTCCCAAATATTAAGAGATATAGCCCTAATATATAAAAGCCCATGTGCGCACTTCTCTCTCCTTCTCTCTCTGTCCGCAACATATTTTCCGAGACAATGAGATAAGTACTTTCATAGCTATATAGAGAACTTAATGATTTAGACTTTTGTTGGATGTATTAAATGTATAAACTAAATTTTATTTAAAGAAGGAAAATAAAAATAAAGGCATATTCGAATGTAAAAACACATTTTAAATTCTGCAACCAGTAAAGTGTTTATGGTTGTGACAAGAATGCACTGGCGAAGATACAAGTAACACAAAAACAATGACATCGCATGTTTAAACTACGGAAAGTACACAACACTATAGCATCTTTGATTATATGACAAAAATAGAATTAAACATCAAATGTTGTAATGATATACATTTTCAAATTTGAGAACATAAAGAAATGAATTATTTCATTCAAATTTGAATTTGATCAATAGAAATATGCACATATCAAGATGTACACATTGAAATATGTACAATTGAAATATGGTGTTGTGTTGACGTTTAATGTATATAATTAATAATATTTTAAATGTGCTGGATTTTTAGCTATTTAGTTATTTCTTTGCTTTGTCACTAACATCTTTTAACTTGTAGAAAAGCAAATTGCGTTTTGACTAATAACTATTTTATTTAAAAAATAGTTATCTTCAAACCAGTATAACATAAAAATATATAGGCATATAAAGGACTTGTAACGGGTACCAATGGCTAGTATATCTTTTCCCAATTGTGCTTGAGACACATGGGGCATTTATGATGCAGTTTTCGTCTGTTTCATTGACCTTTTGGCATATGCAGTGTTCATTGACCTCAGCATATGAAAGGATAGTTTTTGTCAGCACTATGCCCAGTTGCTTTAATTTTTCCTAATATGCGTTAGGTAGCCTACCCAGCAGAGCTGGGTGGACTCCGGGCATTTTACTCAGTTGAACCCGGATTTGAACTTGACACTTTCGGGTTAGCACTCTAGCGCTCTACAGCTAGGTCATGCCGTCTAGTATAACATAGATAGTAGGAATCAAATGTCTTGAAAAGTAAGTATTGTTATTGTCAATTTTATTTTTAAAATTTCAAACCCACATTATGTTTCAAGGTTGAAAAATTTCAGTTTTGGGATCGAATTTTAGGATATGATTCATTTTAAAAAAATGAGAGTCACCCCTAAAAATGTTTCAATGTTTAATTTAATTTGGGACATGCATGTTCAGTGGTTATGTGTTGAAAAGTATATAAAAAATAAGGAATTTTTTTGTAATAACAGTGATTTTTTTGGAATCAGTGAGTATTTTGGGAACCCAGTAAGTTACTAATTTTTTTTCAAACATTTATTTTCCAGTTAAGAATAAACAGAAAGGAGTAACAAAAAACTTTGATCTGAAATGCCAAGATATGCTCAATTAGTTGTTGGTCCTGCAGGCAGTGGTAAGGTTAGTAATCTACAGTGCTTTTGTATATATGCATTATCAGTTCTTCATTAAGAAGTATATTAACCAAACAAACTATTTTGGAACTGTAGCGACATTAAAACGAAAATAATAATGTCATTTCTATTAAAACAGGCCTACAGGTAAACCCAGCATCATTAGTATTTTTTAATTAAACAAAGAAATATCCAAATTTATCAAATTAACTCTATACTGCATAAGCACAAAAATAAACCGGGAGTAATCTCCCCTAAACTTTCTCGAAAATCCTTTATAAAACAACAGGGGATGGCAACTCTGGAAATGGACATAATTTTTTAATCCATTTTTAATTACTTAAACTTTTGAAAATAGAATAGAATCTCATAGAAAAAAAGAATTGACTACACCAAGTGAACGCAGAACAAAATGTGTATAATAGTACTGGATATTATTAGTACTTTTTAAATTCTTATAAATTCACATGCGTTTTTTCAGAAATCGGAAATAGCGAAAATTACTACTTTAGATCAATGGAAATACTCAAAATTTGACAGAAGGTAGAGAATTAGATCTTTTACTTACATGTGAAATTTCATTTATCTATATGAAATAGTACTCAAGTTATAAGCTTTTGAAAAATTGAAAGTAGAAAAAGTTCCACTTCCGGTTATCGGAAATCGCTCAAAAGTAAAGACGGATCTACGATTTTGATATAATACTTATATATGAAATTTCATCAACCTAGCTGTAACAGTACTCAAGATAGAAAAACTATGTTTTTCCAATTCAGGGAGGTGTAAAACGTCAAGATTTTATCTCGATTTTTTATTTTTTTTGCACGATTACAAGACTTTCTCTATACTTCGTATAGATACGAGAAAGTAAGAATTAATTGATTAAAACTTTCAAAAAATAATTTTTTTTATGAAAGTAAGTGTTGCTTATTTCTTTCAACAGAAGATGAAGATGAAATAAGCAACATTAAGAATTAAACAATAGAAAATAGGGTTAACCTGAAACTTTAGGGAAATGAAACAAATCTTAATGCATATTAAGATAATTTGGAGGTAGCCTCTCGAAATTTTTTGGAAATCTTTGGTTTAAAGTTATCCTAGATGTAAGTAGTGACTAGATTTAGGCCTAGGCTTCTAGACTTAAACTCGAGCACTTGCTATTTAACCCTCACTTACCACTGTACCCTTACACAAACATTTCAAAGTATCCTCAAACATGTGTCTCTTCATTTGGATATAGTGGCTTTTAAACAAGGCTAGTTTCCACTGTCCAGTAGTCCGAGATTGTGTCACTTTCTTTGTAGTTAGTCTTTAATTTCACTGATGTATGTTGATAAAGACTTTGGGTCAAATCTGAAAATGTCCACTTAAATTATATTTTTTTATTTAATTTCATAGTCTGCCTACTGCAGCCATTTGACCAAACATTGTAGTGTTATAAAGAGGACAGTGAATGTTGTCAATCTAGATCCAGCAGCAGAGTATTTTGACTATCCTGTAATGGCTGGTAAGTTGTTAGATCAGCTGTTCAGTTTTTTGTCTATGGGCTATTTTTATATAAACCACATTAATTTTTTGTTGATTTAAATGTCAAAGGTGGACAGTAGAATGCGTGGTCACTTACCCAAAAGCCCTGTTTTTTCGCAATTTCCATTCTGGAGAATTGCGTTTATTAACCCGACATTTCTGGATGTATGAATATATGAATGAATGGATGTGTGTCCGCAGCTTTAAGTCGTATCTCCTCCTCAACGAAGCAATATCGAGGACTAGTTTCAAAGCAATTATGTTAAGCAAGTTACGAGGATGAACATAGGCCAAAAAAATTCCGGGTTTCTTTCATGGATTTCCCGGGAAAGCCAAAAAACCTCGAAAAAATGCAGTTTTTGGCCCATATCTCGGCAACCAGACCACTTAGCGCCTTGAAACATGTACCAATCGATTTCTGCCATAATTTAGAACAATATTGCCGAAGAAAGTTTTCAAAAATATCCTTTCGTTCGGTCACAAAAATTTTTTTTGAATTAATTAAAATTTGGACCGAATTAGTAGGCATTTTTATCCAACCACACCACACGCGTCATCACGTTCAATAGCTGCGCCATCACGTTCAATGGCTGCGACATAACGTTCGGTAGCTTGGCGCGCAATGGTTTTTAGTCATGTAACTCTATTGTAAATAAAACATGTAAAATACTGAAAAAAAAAAATTAATAAAAAACGTTTTAATAACTAACCAATGGTTTTACTAACCCTGCTCTTGATTTACTCTACGACAGAGCTATTTTTAGATAACATAAGGAAATTGCGTTTAAATGTCACTAGACTTTTTAATTAACTTGTTTTAGATCTCAGGCTTATGTAAGTCAGATGTTCCTGAGTTCATTCAGCTCTGAAGAGTACCTGATTCACATGTGGGGAAAGTCCCAGTGTAAAGGCAGCTTCGGGAAAGTGCTGATCACACTATACCTTCATATGCTAAAATCATAGAAACAGAGGAACTCTACTTAGCTTGCTGTATGGACAGCCAGACTTGAAAGAGTAAATTAATTCTTTCTTTTAATGTCAGAATAATGTAGTGCAGCCCATTGTTGTGAATCCTATGGCAACGATGTCCACGCAATTTGTGGAATAGGTAAAGAATAGGAAAATATCTTTGCAGACTATTTCACAATGAGAGATATCAGCATGTGGAACACTTCAAATTCCCAAAATAAAGCTCAATATTTGCAGAATAATGGCGCTGAAAAGTACTCATGAGCCTGATACATTTTGTTTGTGAATTGAAAAAGAAATGTCTACTAAATGATAAGAATGTAAATAGAGATTATCTTGCTGCTTTTCCAGTTTCCATATTGAACTTAAAGCTAATACACTATTACATTATTTCTTTTGCTTTTAACTATTTTGCCATAAATCCATATACCAAGGCAAAGGCCTACTTCTGTGCATAGAATAAAATTGTAGAAAAAAATTAGTGAAAGTGTATTGATGGTTTTAAGTTATTAGTTCTTTTAAAAAAACAACGTTTTGGAGCTTTCGAACAGCTTTATTTGCAGATTTACTAAACCCTTCTTAATTGGGAAAATAAAATATATTTTTTTAAAATTTCAAAACATCGAGATATATAATTTGGTTCACAAAATAAACCGGGCATCAACATCACTGAGTTCAAAAAAACAAAATCATAATAAGGAATTATTTACTGCAAAAAATTAGTGTGACTTGTGCATTTGCCTTTCAGACACCAGTTCAGTTTCACCTTGAATTCAGTGAGCATTATGTTCTTGTTTTTTGCCATCTTCATGCAGTTTTGAAGAAGTGTTCTCTTAGTTTTGCCTATGCTAAACTAGAATTGTTCAACATGTTAATCATGCATTTAGGACTCCCATCAAGGTCTATTATACATGTGAATCCATGTTTGTATATATTTGTCCGACCACATTCTTTGAACGTACCATCATGACAGTCACAAGTCTGCTGAGGCAGGATTTAGAAATAAATAGTTTGTCACAGCAATGTATGGACACGATAAACGCAAGCCTGTGTAGCTGGTGTTGACACAGTGCATGGTGTGGCGCGTCATCAAAGGTTCCACCTTAAAGACATATCGTGATACCTATCCATGTTATTTTGTTCTGGCTCACTTTATAACTGTTACGCTGTTGTATTTGAACTGTCATAGATCGCTAGTTCCATTGTCTGCACTGATAAAATCCGATTGAAAATCTTGTGTGTCTTGACCTCGCCCAACCTCCTGAGACTGACTTACCTAACCCATTGGGGTTCAATCGACCCCAGGTTAATAACCACTATTATAAGAGGTTACTGGGAGCTTATAGGCCTACCCTTTACTTATCTGTGGACAAATGTGTCTTTATGAGTAATAAATGGTAATGACAATGCAAATTAAAACTTAGCTTTAGATTGTTTTATCTTTTACCTGTAATGAGCTCAATGACTTCACCATTCAATCCTATTCACACCAGCAGTGCATAATCTTTCCTTAATGTTGTAGGAGTGATTAAGAAAAGTTCATTTAAGCCATCTCTAAATCTTATGGAAACTAAATGTTTCTTTAATTTAAAAATACATTTTCTTTTTTAAAAGATATCAGAGAACTGATTCATATTGATGATGTAATGGAAGATAAAAGTCTAAGCTTTGGACCCAATGGTGGATTAATCTTTTGCATGGAGTAAGTTTAATCTATATATGTAAAAGTATATCTTTCTGTCTATTTGTCTGTCTTATTTATGAGCATTACCACACCATTCATCTGATTGCCATGACACTATGGGAGGCTACTGTACCCTTCATGTAAGGTTTCTGTCAGGGATACTACTTAAATACACTGTGAACTTGCATTAGGGGTGTTGTCTTGTGTGTCCGTATTTGTGGGCTTCCTCTGAGCACTATGGCATCTACATTGGTTCAAAAGAGTGCCAAACTCTAGAGATACTGTGTGCTACTACAATCGATGACTTACTTGAATAAGGGACTTCTTCCATGAAGCAGTGTTTTTTTTTAAATTTAAAATCGTATAAGTATAAGTATGTAAATACATTTTAATCAATTTATTTTACGATTAAAAAAACATGTGAATTAATTATTCATTTCAACAATATATTTATTGTATTAGAGACACAATTGTAATCCCAAAGTAATTTTGACTTAACAATAATAAATTAGGCAAGAAAATGAAAAAATGAAAGTAATTATAAATACCAAAAAAATAAAATAATAATTGTATAAGTGTTAATTCCCTTTAAATTATCTCCTTTGCCTAAAAAAAGTATATGATTAATTTTATTCACTCTACTATTATTAATAATAATCACTTTTATTCTACCAGTCTTAGACTATTATTTTACAGTGAGCTATTCAAAAAATTTTTATCAATTTGCATGTACACAATATTTTCTTAAGGTTCTTCAGTCAAATATGTGAACACATAGAAACCTATATGATATTCTTGGAACAATTATAGCAGCACATAACAATTAACATACCCCAATCCATAGTTAGTAATAAGTTGGTACATGGAAATCATGACCGTTTCAGTTTAATTCTAACGAGCAGTGAGGCACTATCTTTTATTGTTCCTTATAACAGGATGGATTGATAATAATGGTTTTAATTATGATACCCAATAATACAGTCTGTTACAGTGGTGTATTGTATATAATATCCAATTATTAATATTTAATACATACTAACAGGTACTTAGCAAATAATTTTGAGTGGCTTCAAGAGCAACTATATGAAGAGGAAGATGACTACATTTTGTTTGATTGTCCAGGTTTGTTTCTTTTAGATTTATTTTTCCATTCCATTTAAATTTTGTTTATTACAGCCTTTCAAATATAATATAGTATTTTTTTAAACATAATTATGCTAGCTAAAATAGTATTTAAAAAAACCTCAGAAAGTAAATAAAATATTTTCTATGAATATTATGCTGTTAAAAAAATATATATGATGAAATGTTTACTTTAGTAGCAACAACTAAATTGTAACATTATCTACCCAAATTGTTACTGTAATGTAAGCTTTTTTTCTCCATTTTGACCAACTAAAAATGTACTCCACTTAAAAATAAAAACTATAATTGCTCTTTTTTTTTACCCACAAACACATATTTACACAAACACTCTTATATAAACATACATTAAATGACCTATTTTTCTTATTAAATGTTATTAAATGCTCTTAAAATTTAGAAACCTTAAAATATGATAAAATAACATGATTAGTAAAATCAAAATGACAAGAACATTTTTTTTTATCAATACATGCAATATTTTTTATCAACATTAAATTTGGTTTAAAACCTAATTGAATTGTGTTTCTGTCTACCTTGGGTATTATGATTTTTCTTACTCTCTATGAGTATATATCATGACATTGTACATATGAATAACATTATTTTCCAAGCTGTCAAAGATAATAGCTAGAGTTATTTATTTTTAAATTTAAAAGTAAGATACGTAACCAGGTTTTGGGGTGATTAGCCCAGTAACATCATTTATTAATATTTATTCCTCAGTTGCTTTCAAAAGGTTGTTATAATACTGCTTCCCTTCTCTAACCAACTCTTCTAAAATAACATTTATGGTTTTATAATGTTCATGCAGTATAATTAAGGGTTGAATCCTGACCAACATTATTGTTTAGAAAAATGTATCTGTCGAGGAGTAACACTCTTTAATGAAAATTAACAAAATAAGAAATTAAGTAACAACAGAAAGACAGAATAGAATATTATAAATACATTTTTGATAGTGCACATGCCCATTATAAAAGAGAACTAAACTAACCACTCATAGTTGTTGTGATGTCTGTCATGGTTTTACTTTTAGAAACTGATTATTGTATAAGCATCTTTGTAACATTTTAAGCTGTTGATTATCACCCACATACATCTGGTGTTTATTTGAACCAAATGTTCTATGGAACATCAAACATATTTGGTAATCACTTTTAAGTTCATTGGTTTGAGACTGAAAATTTTAGAGATGTCAATGCAACCCTAACTCTTACTATAGCCCTATAACCCCTTGACCATTTCAGTCTGCCAGCTATTTACGGAAGTGAAATTAAATGATTGAAAACTAATTTAGAAAATATAAAAAGTCAATTGTTGTTGATATTTGTCCTTAGTAATCTGCTATAGAATACTGGCTTTTAACTTAAAGGCAGTAGTACAGGGTTGGAGGCTGTAAGTCTTCCCCCCAGTGTATAAGATACAATAGAGAAAAAAGGCCTAGTCAATCTGTACTTCTCTTAAAAAACAAAATGAAATTATATTTGGCTTTTAAGGATCACCCAAATATACATATATACAAATATTTACATACTAAATATATACAATTATACAGATTACACATACAGTGGTACTTAGAGATGTGAGTTCAATTTTTTCCATAATTTTGGTATGTCACATTGTTCGTATCTCAAAGCAATTTTCTCCATTGAAATTATATGAAATGCCTTTAATCCTGAGACAAGGGCTGATGTAATAATTTAAGAAGATATACATCCATGTGGCACCAATCGTGCAATTTTAGGTGCGTGACCTTGTTTTCTAAAACTGAGTTATTTAAATGTAAAGAAAGTTGTCCATGCTACCACCCAGAAGCCCCATTGTGTGCTTTATGAAAGTTTTGTGGCACCCTCGGTAATTGTGAGGTAGACTCCCTTTGGCGATCGCCCATGTGTCATGGGGGTAGCGTGACGCTCTATGGAGACACCGGTTACACTACCGCAGGGGTGTTGGGTACATTGAATGGCATGTGCTACTGTGTCCCTATCTTATTGTGCTGTTTAAAATTTATACTTAAAGATATTGCTAATCATTATTATTAATCATTATTTTTGGAATGGTTGGCCCATCCCAGTTTTTGCTATAGAATTGTTATGGACAAAGGGAAACAGCCAAGTTAATATTTTTTTGCAAAATAATCTATGCCTGGTTAATTGTTCTGAATATTCAATAATATTCCTTATTTTTATTCTGGAGGACCATTTTCAACAACCCCCCCCCCCCTCCCCAAAAGACAAAGGGATGAAAAGTATAGTAATGCATAAAGAACATACCTCTCCCCCTTTACCATACTTTCACTTTAACATTTATAGATTTTTAAAAAGAAAATATAAATAACAAATATTGTATAAAAGCATAATACAGAAGAATGTAAAAAAAATAAATTAATTCAATAAAATGTATGTTGTTTGGAAATCAGATGACTTACTGCAGATGCTGGGGGAGGTGTAAGGGTGTTAGAGATAGACAGCACATTTTTACTTTTTTTCACTTACTTTCAACACTCTTTCAGTCACTTTAATTCGCTCACTTGGTACACTCTTAATGTTACTCTTTATCCCATTACTTATTGGAGCTTAATTTAAGTTCACTGAAAAAGTAGTTGATCTTGAATGGTGGTTGATAGTTGATTATTACTTTTATTATTTTCGTGACTGCTTTTTACTTTCTCGTATATACAAAGTATAGAGGAAGTCTTGTAATCGTGCAATTATATAAAAAAAAATCAAGATTTTTGCAAATCTTGATGTTTTTCACCTCCCTGAGTTGGAAAAACATAGTTTTTCAATCTTGTCTGTGTGTGTATGTCTGTAAACACGATAACTTGAGTACCGTTACAGCTAGGTTGATGAAATTTCATATATGAGTATTATATCAAAATCGTAGATCCGTATTAACTTTTGAGCGATTTCCGATAACCGGAAGTAATTAAGTAAAAGCTTATAAGCTTCAAAAAGCTTATAACTTGAGTACTATTTCAGATAGATCAATTAAATTTCACATGTAAGTAAAAGATCTAATTCTCTACCTTCGTTCAAATTTTGACCGGAAGTTGTAATTTTCGTTATTTCCGGTTTCTCAAAAAACGCATGAGAATTTATTAAGTACTATTAATATTCCGCACTATTATACACATTTTGCTTCACTTGGTGCGCAATTCTTTTTTCCACGAGATTATATTCTATTATAAAAAGTTTAAGTAAGTAAAAATCATGTCTATTTCCCGAGTTGCCATCCCCCCTAGTGTTATATAAGAATATTCCAGAAAGTATAGGGGAAATCACTCCCGGTTTATTCTCTTTACATGCCTTTTTTGCTACACTTTACTCACTTTTATGTACAGGCTGTTTAAAGCAAAACCTGTTGTGTTTTGTTTCTTCCTCCTTTTCAGTTTGACAAGTAGCATTATAATATAGCTGCAACATTTTTGGGGTGTTTCTTATCCATAAACAGTGAAACCAGCTGATCCAGTTTCTTGTTTCTGAAATTTTGGCTCCAAACTCAAAGCTAAACATTGCTTACTTAACTGTTTATATCTGGAAAATCTAGTATGTCAGGGCACATCAATATACCCCTGTATACACACACATTTATATATATATATATATATATATACATATATATATATATATATATATATATATATATATATATATATATATATATATATATATATATATATATATATATATATATATATATATATATATATATATATATATATACATATTATATATATATATATATATATATACATATATATATATATATATATATATATACATATATATATATATATATATACATATATATACATATATATATATATATATATATATATATATATATATATATATATATATATATATATATATATATATATACATATATATATATATATATGCATACATACATATAAATACATATACACATACACACTTACACACATACATAGGCCTACACACATCCACATATAAACATACACACATCCACACACACATCCACATATAAACATACACACATACACACACACACACATATATATATATATATATATATATATATATATATATATATATATATATATATATATATAGATATAGATACATATAGATATAGATACATACACACACACACATACATATTCTCACATGCTCACAAATATACATATATATATATACTTGTAAATTAAGGCTTAAGAACATCTAATTAAATACCTAGAACTTATCATTGTCTGTAACAAATGCTAATAAACAAGAACCTCTGTCACATGAAAAAATAATTTTAAAATGTGAAACACTATATTAGAATTCACTGAGTTACATTGTTCTCATTACCATGTAATCTAGACTATTTTACCAGTGTTAAAAAAAACAAGCACATGTGCAAGTAGTTGTTTTTCTTTACCAGTTCTGTATACCTATTATTAGTTTATTTCTTTTGTACAAAAATATAAAAGTTTTTTTTAACTGAAGTGTTTTTTGTTATCATTAGGTCAGATTGAGCTTTATACACATATTCCAGTGATGAAGATGTTGGTAGAGAAGCTGTTGTCATGGGATTTCCATGTTTGTGTCGTATTTTTATTAGATGCTCAATTTCTGGTTGATGCTGCCAAATTTGTTTCTGGTTCGCTGTGTGCACTGTCAACTATGATTAATTTAGAAGTTCCTCATGTTAATGTTCTTACAAAAATGGATTTATTGAGCAAAAAGTCAAAAAAAAACCTTAATAGGTTAGTAAATTTTCCTTTTCATTTTTTTGTTTGTTTTACATTATCTTACATAAAAGATACTTTAAAATATTTATTTCAATTTCAAATGTTATTGAGAATAGAATAAACTAGCATCATCCATTAAGTTGCCATGCTTTATTTGCAGATTTTTAACCCCTCTATCTTTTCTATAAACAATGTGTTATGTATTCAAGATTCTTGTTTTAATTTATCATTAGTAATATTATTGTTTGTTAATGTCTTTGGTATCACCAGTTTTTTTTAACTGTATTAATGGCATTTAGCACTGTAAATTATCTTCCAGATATTTGGAGCCAGAGCTTAACAGCTTACTCATGGAAGAATTTCAGGAAGAGGAATTTGGTATCAAGTTCAAATCCATTAACAAAGCAATTGCCCAGCTGGTAGGCTACCTTGTGGTATTTTCTCTATTAAATTAAAAAATAAGCATACATAGACTTCAAAAACACGGTAACTGAAAATGGCAGTTGCAGTGGTTTGGTTCAGTTAACTCGTCGAACCTCCTGGGATATAGGCAGCTGAAAGGGGCTTTCCAGGCAACTATGTTCTGGCATTTGGTCACTATGATGTGTAAGAGATTGCGTGTGGCCAATGATTTTATTAGAGGAGGCAATTTTTAATTTTTTAATTTCGTTATGTTCAGTGCATTTAACCCCTTACCAGGCCACATATTTGGTACCCTTTCCCCAGCAACTGGGTGAATTACACCAGTACACTTTTTATAATGGGGAATACGATTTCTTCAGATTGCTAGCAACTGAGCAGATTACACCCATAGACTATCTCATGGTTACGGTATTCAGGGCATAATGGCCATGGGAAAAGCCATCCATGTTTTTGTCTATGGGAGAGCTATAATGTGAAACTGCAGGTTAGTGATATGTAGAAGCAAAAGTAAACCTATGGGAGGACACATGTATTGCTTTGTACTTCCTTTCTGGAGCTTTGACATGCAGTGTATTACAGACAGTACTGTAGTTTAGTTACAACAGGTCAATGAATTGCAAGAGTCAGACAGCTTGTGGAATGCCTAATATAATATTTGCCATTTTAAGTGTAGAAAGTGATAATAGACAAACAAGTGTTGAGTTGACTCAGATGTAGAAGATTACGAATGACATTCATCATTACCTGAAGACACTGTTGGTTTGATTCCAGGTAGCTCTGATTACAAGGTCAACGCAGTATACTCTGAACTGCATTTAGCCATTGATAATGTGCCCACAATTGGCAGTCATAATCACTAATGAACTGAAGCTGACAGTAAAGATGTGTAAAGTGGAGCATAAGTCCGAGTTCTAACAGTAAACAGTCAAAATGGAGCTGATAGTGAAGATATGCAAAATAAAGAGTGAAGAAGTGCAAAGTAATTTGGGAAAGACAAAGTAAAAAACCATTGCCTGAGTGCAAATTCCTAGCAAAAATATACCTGAACTGCCTTACTCACTGATCATGGGTTTGCTCCCTTTCAATATTTCTTCTTTACATGATTAAAAAAACTATACAAATTGCAATAATAGGGAAAGTTAGAAAGCGAGGAACCCTGGCACTCTGCAGAAAAGCATTTAAATTGAACATCTATTCAGCCCTGTTCATGGCAATTTTTTGAAGGCAGCATTTTCTATGAAGAGATTCAGCAACTTTCTGGGTCATATTCACTTTGACAACGACACTAAGTCAGTCAATAAGGATTATGGTATATTTGCACCCACAAGGAATAATTATTTAATGTATATCTGTTACTCAGAAAATTTTTGCAAGGTATTATGTTTCTGGAGAGAGCACAACTGTAATTGAGCAACCAGTTGATTTTAGAGGTGGGAGTAGATTTATACAATAAATATCAACATACCCGGATAAGTTTAGAAAAAAATATTTTGGGCATGTGACTCATATAAATTAACCACACTGCAGCCCATATTTTGGGAAAGAAAACAAAAGTTACCTGCCAGCAAAAAGAAATGTAGTTATCTTAATTTTATGTAACAACTATGCTCTCTGAGCTGTAAATTTATAGTTAAACTTCAATTGGAATCACAGACACAAAAAAAAAAGTAAAATTAAATGTTTAGACGCCTGTTTATAGGTTATATAAATATTTTTTCCATTAAAAATTTTGTGCAGGTGTATACACTTAATTACCAGGGACCATATTACAAAATTTCTAACCCAGATAAAAATATTTTTTGCATGATAAAATTTGCATCTTTCAATGTGTTCATTATAACCATGTTATAGATGAGATTGAGTCTCAGAATGTTTAAAAGGAAACACAAAAATTAGCAAAAATATGGGTCTCTGGGTGGATTACAATCAGTTGCCAGGGATAGGTTAAAAAAAAAAAAATTACTGCAAAATGTTTTTTTAACTTGTTTCATCAAATTTTACTTACCAGTTGGATGATTTTAGTCTTGTGCATTTTATACCTCTTGACTACACAAAAGAAGAAAGCATAAATGATCTTCTCATTCATATTGACTCTACTATACAATATGGAGAAGATTTAGAACCTAAAGAGATAAGGGTATGTATTTGAATATTTCATATTCAAAAATAAAAAAATATATAAAAACTCAAATGTTAGTTTTAAAATGATTTATTTCCATAACATTCCAGTAATGGATCATTTGCAAAACATTTTTCACATCCAATGGTTTTTACGATTTATTTAAATAGTATATATTTTATATATATTTACAGTTTAAAACCAACTTGTAAAAAGGTTGTAATTTCATTGTTTATAAAAACTTATAAAAAATTGCAAACTTAAGGTTATGTGGTTAGTTCAAGCATCTAATGTACACATTTTAGTGCCTGACTACCATCATTTTCTATTGAAGTATTTTGGTTGAAATTTTGATGGCAAAACATGAAGAGAAATGGTAATGAAAAAATATGAACATTATTTTACATTTTATTTTTAATAGGATGAAATTCATGAAGCTGATTTTAAAGATCAAGAAGAAAATTATAATAACTGAGAATAAACAAATGAAAACCACTTTTGTTATTTTTTCAAAATCAATACATAGTTGTATGTTCTAAACTTCTTTTACCATTTTATGCCTCCCTTCATATTTCTAGTTGCTTTTCCTCACAGCTTGGACACTGTACAAATCAATTGAGTTATTAATGCAATTACACAAAATATAGTCTGATAGAGTGATAGTATACTTCATCCATTCTAACATTCAACTTGTAATTTACTAAACCTTAATAGCCATATCCTCTCATCATAACAACATATTTCTATCCCCACCCAACCCAAAAGATTAACATTTTAATTTATATGGACAATACACAACCAAAAGAAAAAAGCAAACAAAATCTCAAAATACAAACCCAAACATAGATACAAACACAAATAGAAACGCAAACCTAATTTGCAAACAATAACTCATAATAATGCAAAAGTAAACGCGAACATAAACACAAACTTAAATGCAAACATAAACGCATAGTGCTCACAGTCTAGCCTGGGGCAACCAAATTGCACCCTGCCGGGCGCCGGCGAAAGCACCTGATTCACTTTAGTAAACGCTTATAAAATCCCAACTTATCCAGTCTTTTGCACTCATTTAAACAAACGTAGGCGTCAAAGCGCTCATGAGAAGGCCCGGGGCGCCAAATAGCATCTTGCCAGGGCGCCGTAGGGTGATCGGATTCGAGTTAGTTAAGTACTAAAGTAACCTTTCTTATCCATAGTCTATCGCACTGTTTCAAACGAACGTAATGTTTGTTTTTTAAAGGGAAGTAAAAAAATTGTGTGTGACCTATCAAGGGAAGTAATAGGCAATAAAGGAATAAAGTGAAGTAATTTATACACTTTTTAATTTTTTGTAAAGGACAATACATTTTCTTTGACTTTGTTTATTCCACATGACGTTAATTAAAATAATAGGCTTGGAAAATAAAACTCTTACAAAACCATCCATATTAATTTTTTAAAATTCTTCATTTAGATAATAAACGTTTTAAGAACATTACACTCTGACGATTAATTGAAGTTTTTACTATATGCCTCTTTTGGAAGGGTCCACTATCACATACGTACATAGAGAGACACATAATCTGTTAGGGCAGGGGTCGGCAACCTGCGGCTCACAAGCCACACATGCGGCTCTTTTGCCATCTAGATGCAGCTCTCAAACTCCTTGCACAAATATTAATAGTTATATTTTTTCATTTTCAAAGCTCATATCAAATATCATACTTAAAAGAAAAACAACTTTAACAGAATTAAAACACTTATCAGAGATCAGTTATAATTTGAGCAGTAGAAAATATACTGACAGCAGCTTGGGCACCAGGCCCAGCCCCACAGCCGTTATGTAGCCAGCCCCGAGGCAACAATTCAATGCTTGCCGCTGCCCAAGTGCCGACTTTTTCAAATGTCTTTAAATGTGGCATGTTATTTTATGCAGAATGCATTTCCCTATATATCAGTAATCATTAATTTGACGTGAGTGCAGAGGCGTAGCGAGGTGGGGGCGCGGGGTGCAGACCGCACCGGGTGACACCATTTAGGGGGGTGACACCAAGGCAAAAAATAACAAAATATATAGAGAAAAACTTGAGGGGGGTGCAAATCGAAAGTTTGAGGGGAGGGGGGTTGCAAATCAAAAGTTTGAGGGGGGGGGGGGTGGGGGGGGTGACACCCGACCTCGCTACGCCACTGCGTGAGTGAACTAGTTTTTTTTAGTTATTAGCTTCCTACTGTTGAGCCGGGTACTGGATGGTGGGGTACGAGTTTACCCTGCGTTCAGTGGGGTGGAAGAGAAGTCTGGTGAGAACCAAAGTCAGAAGCGACGGATACACTGTTATCAAACCAATATTCAAGCCGATTAGTCAAAGTTAGCCGTGTTGAGGCCTGCCTGGCTAATGGCAGACACCTCCTGAGCCGGTGATATCCGTAAAGAAAGAAAAAAAAGTTAGCCTCTTCTATAATGGATTGGGATAGTGACGGATAGTCCTATCATTAAATTATTTGATTACTAAGTTTATTATTCTGGTGAAACATGTGTATGGTTTTATATGAATAAATATTATTTCATTATTAAAGCTATTTATTTTAAATAATAAAATATTGAAATAAAAAGGTGGTGGCTCTTTAAAAACTAGGAAATTTTGAAAATTGTAACTTTTGGCTCTTCATTCTCAAAAGGTTGCCGACCCCTGTGTTAGGGCTTTATAAATTATACTTAAACATGTTTACACAGAATTTCGCAGTTTAGGCGCCTCAGTAGGGTGCGATTTGGTGCCTCGGGCTATTCCGTGAGCACTATGGCACCTATGTTCTTTTTAACAGTGCATTTTAAACAGTTTTAAAGATAAGATGGAGTATTAGAGTTGTTTACTAAATTGAATCACGCACATCCACCAGCACCCTGAAAGGGTGCGATTTGTCGCCCTCCACTATCCTGGGAGTGATATGGCTGCTATGTTAGTTTTAAGGAGCACCCTATAATATTGACAAAGTAGCACGGGACTTTCGATTATTTAAACTGAGCCAGGGGCAGCATGCCACGCCCCTCTACATCTCTGATGCTTAGGCAATCACTAAAGTGTGTTCTACCTAACTATTTTGCTGAGCAATTAACCTACAATAATGGCTTTTATACAGCACACCATGGGGCATGCTGGGCAGTAGTGTAGGTAAACCAGTGCCCTGGTTAATATGATCCAAGCGCAGGCAGTTTTAGAAAACAAGGTCAGGCGTCTAAGAATATAGGATTGGTAACACATTGATGAAACCCTCCTAATATATTTCATCAGACTTTTTAGTGAACCTATAAAAAATTCTAAATGATTTGAATACAGTATAAGTTTATGGCTCAAATTCTAAAAATCAGTATACTACTAAATGTAGCAATTAAAATGTGTAGCTGTTGTTGAGAAGGATGAAGCAAATAGAACAATATAATCATTTATTCCCTCATTCTGAAATCTCACCTTTTTATTGTTAGTTATGATTTTCATTTTCATTCGTAAAGTATCATTTTCTTCCTGAGCGTGTAAAAGTTCTTTTCGCATTTCATCCAACTGCTGCTGCCGTTCCCTGAAAGTTATTTTAAAATTATTAGGATTACTATTTTTACTCCATTCTCTATTTATAAGATGAGAATTATATATATATATATATATATATTAGCCGTTATCGGCTAGGCTTTGCTACAGCCATTTACAGCCATGTCCAAATGTAAATGTTGAAACTGATATGTATTTTAACTTACAAAATGTTTTAAGAAAATTAAAGAACATTAAATAATGCTACGCTCAAAACGGCAACAGCATGTGATTCTAAAAACTAACCTACACATCACCTGCTATTCCTCAATACCATGGTTCATTACACAAACATAAAAAGCACCAGAGTCAAACCATTTAACTGCTTGTTACTTACTTTTCTTCGCCAGTGAGCAACAAAGGCATTTGATACAATTAAAATATACAAAATAAAATATCGGAATAGTATCTTAAGAGAGTTTACTGCGTAATAGCAGATAACTTCAAAGCGCAGATAATTTCAAAGCGTAACATTAAAATAAAGGAAAAAAACAATTTAAAAAATAAGAAAGTGTAACAGAACACTGTACAAGCACTCTATAACTACTTTAAAAATAAAAACCCCTTGTTTAGTGGTATGTATTAAATGTTAAATAAAGTGTACCTAATAGCCAATTATATTAAAACCCTAGTTAAAATAAGCATTTAACTAAACTTCAACTTTATTTTATACTAAATGTGACATACTTTACCTGTGTGTAAGACGTTACCCACCCATACCCCCGCTGGTCATTAGCCCCTAGATCAATTACGTCCTCAAAGTTACCACCCTGTGTAATTACCCCACTACACAATACATATACCAATACCTATGGGCCTATCTCTTTCTTTCCCCATAGCCATCTCCCAAACCCTAACTCTGTTCCTATGCAAAAGTATATGCTTCATACAATTCCTATTCTTTATATCATATCTTTACCTTTAAAGTTACCGTTACCCTAACCAGTGGGTTACTGTAACCCTAACCTATGAGTAACTGTCTATGGGGTAGGTAATGTCTTACTGCAGTTTTTGAGTCTGAGTAATGTCATGGGAGGTGGGGTAATTGACAGGGGTATAACATTGGTAAAATGACCGGTGGTTGTTAACAGGAGGGTAGTTATGTAAAGATCCATTTTTATGCACCTCTTAACCCATTCTGTAATGTTACGTAACATCTAACCAAATATCAAGTTGGTGTCACATCTGGAAGTGGTTGATCTCATTCAAGCTCTTTAAAAAATTTATAGTTTATATAAGGCAGCTGTCAGTCTAGGTCAGTTTTCGATCACTTTGAACATGATTATTGTGATGGCTCTAATTTTTACATTAGAATGAGAACAGCAAACTTTGTTAACCCTTTGAGCCCTGGCCTCCCTGGCCTAGTTTCTCCCATTTCCTGAGCTCCCAGGGCCAAACCAATTTTCACTTATCTGCTTCTAACTTTGCCTATAACTTTTGAACCGTTTGAGATAATCAAGCCAAATTTGGTATCCAGACTCAGGATCAAACCCCAAAGCAGAAAGATTCTGAAATTCTTTATTTGTTTGCAATGTATGAACAGAACAATGTATATAAATCGAACACATAATTATTGTTTTGATAGAACATAGAAGAAACAAATTTACATTTAGTAATTGTTTTGTTAATATTGATACCTGGCCATACTAGTTCATCGCCAGAAGTCCACTTTTGTGTGATAACTTTCAAAACAGTTATCACTGCCGGACCCGATGCAAAGAAAAACTTCGCATGTTTTGCACCAGCAAACAGTTTTTTTTCGTTCCGACAAGTCTTTGTCTTTGGCACCACGTGCATCATAACGTACTTGAACAGTTTCATTGTCACTGTCAATTTCAATGTCACTGAGTTCAGTCTCAAATTCAACGTCACTATCATCACAATATAGACTAGGAATATTATCTTCTTCAACAGAATCAATAAGTAGTTGTATTGCCTGAGATGCTGTCATTCTACTTCTTTTGTTGATATTTCGGACTTTTGCTTCATCTTTTGCACCAACTTTATGTGCTGAAGTCGATGGCTGTGGCTCAGCTTTTCGTTTCGGCCGCATTGCTACGAAATGTAAACACTTTCACTTTTCCTAAAATCTATTTTTAGAATCATAATCACGCACTAAAAAGACATTTGCGCAGTTTTAGTCAGTCTTCCGCTAATTATATTTAATTAGACGGTATATCGGCCGCTAGGAATATGACGCTAGATCATCGGGCCGGAAAACCGGCTTTTCGGACATATATGCCTAATGTTGAAGCCAGTTTACCGGCCTGGCGGGCTCAAAGGGTTAAGGGCAATTTGTCTGATACTTTGCTGCAAATACCCGAAACAAACGTTTAGTATAACCAGCATATTTTTTTCAACATAAGTCCATAGCATTATATTCTACAAATATGGCTGAAGAACCTAATCCCAGATCCTTGGACAAAGTGTGACCAACAAACAGAGAGAGAAAAGCGCACATAACCTTTTGTATTTTAGGATACATACCAAGAATTGCCTTTAAGAGCATCTGCCATCTGACATCTAAGTCTAGAGAGCTTTTGTTCTCTGTCAGCAATAACAGCATCTTTCTCCAACAAACACAATTCAAACTGTTAAAAAATTGCAGACATGTAACTTAATTAGAAATATTTATTACATAAACCTACTTATATTCATAAAAATTTCATTTCCCTAAATGTCAACATTAAATTTTATCAACATTTAACAACTTTTACTACGAACTAAAAAAAAAATATTTTTTTTCAAACACAATCTAATAAAACATACATAATCATACTTACTTGAAAATAAATTTACTATTTACCTGATTCCTTTGTATATTGACCTGGTCATTATGCTCATCTATGATGGTTGTTAACTTTACTTTAGTCTGGTCTAATGTTGATATGGTTTCTTGAAGGGAAGTTAATGTTAAATTATGTTGTGCTTTTTCTGCAATCAGATGACTATTTAAATCTTTCTCCTAAAAAGAAAAATCCATTTTTGCAGTGTTTTTATACATATATGATTATAAAATATTGACATATATAATATAATGACAGTTACAAGATAAATATGAATAGAATTAGGACTAATGTCACTAGTGTAGATTTGTTTACTTTGAATGGCTCAATAATTTGTAAATACCTTATACTGCTATCTATATATAATTCTCTACTTGGGGACCATGTGGACACCAGCACCACCACTAAATGTGCCTAGCCGCCCCCTCCATTGCTTGCTATGCATATCGCTATCACCCCTACCCCCACCGGTCTGATGAACTGTGGTTCACTCCAAATGTTTACAATCATAAAGCTGGGTCAAATTAGAGCCAGCTATTAGTAGCTGGTAATTTAGTTTTTAAACTATATGAAACTAACGGGAGGTAACTAAGAGGAGGCTGCTTTCACAGGGGGGGGGGGAGGGGAGGGGTTAATCGTCCCTCATGAGCTACTAATTTCAGTCGCAGCATTGGTAGTGTTGAATTCACAAATTATGAATTACTGAAAGTAGAAAATAAAACAACTAAATAGCAGTGTATGCAACACCACTGGTCTGCAAGTAATCTCTAATCTTACTGTTGACATCATAATTATTTTTTAAGTTGTCAGTCTTGTGAGTAATTATATAATTTTTTATTTTTTTTAATTCTTGTATTAATTATGATAAATCATGAAAAAATAAGAAAAAACCTGTTGCAACATTCTTTCTTTTAATTTTTTATTTTCCTCTTCTTTCAAAATCAAGAGCTTCTGCTTTTCACCTAGTTGCTTATTAAGCTGGGTTACTTGGTTGATTAACTCAGTTTCTTTCTCCTAAACACAAAAATATTTTAATTATTAAAATTATTAAACCAAGACAAAAACAACATGTAGGCCTACTAGAAATATGTTATAAATAAATAATAAATACACACATAGATCTATATACACATACTAATTTAGTATTTACATATCTTTACATATAAATAAATGAAAGTATGTCTGTCTGTGATAACCATTCTAAAGTTCAATGCATCTTTTTGCAGTAGCCATATTAAGTAACAAAATATTATGACTCACCAGTCTTCTTTTTATCTCTTGTTCACAGCTTTCATGTAGATTATCCTTTTGACTTACTTCTATTGGCCTACTACCATGTTCATTACATGTTTCCTTACTATTCAATCTATGTGTTGAAAAAAATAATGCATTTCCTTGAATGCTGTCCTTAAATTTATCAGTGTACAGCTTAGAGCCTGGTTGCCAAATATTTGATTGTTGTTTGTTAATGTTATGTAATTCATTTTTTCTCATTTTATGGTTGGGCATCCTTGAGTATTGGGTTAAAGATATTTTAAACTGAAAATAGAAACAAACTAGATTAATGGCCCGTTGAGGGA